TCCATTTTCAGGCTATTACACATACACGTAAAAGAGGTTCCACAATAAGTAATTTTATATTTAAAAAAAACTGCTGGAGTATGTTGTAATGCATTTCCATTTCTTCCTCTTACCTGTGCATAGGCACTATACGCACCAAACTGGCTCAATACGAACGGACTGACGAGGCCCATATTTCCCACCATTTGCTGCATCCGTCTCATCTGACGTTCCTTTTCCGTGTCTGCGAATTTAACAACCAGACTAGACGACGCACCCTGTTTAAGTACAGAGAAGTGTAAGTTTTCTTATGGACTTTTAGTTTTGGTTTTACTTTTACTCGCAAATTTTCGTAAACAAATGAATAATTATGAATAAATTATACGTGTTGAATCAATACTAATTACTAACATAAAGATTTTCTGTTCCTAACAATAAAGGATTTTAATACTTTCGTTTCGAGTTTACTTACTGATTAGGTATATTTTATTACAACTTACAGCTTTTACTGTAAGTAAGATTTGTTTTTAGAACAGGTACGACGTTTAGAACACTGGTGCGATCATTCTCAAGTACACAAGTTTTAACCAGTGATCGAAATGCCGTACCGGTTCTAAAAACAAATTTTACTTACTGTAAAAGCTGTAACTTCTAATAATAGAATTTTGGTGGCAACTGCTGTTGTAATACGTTCATATAAACTAAACTACCCTATAATATTGTATATTAATATCTTTATTCATAGATATTTTCAAAATTTTAGTACAGGTTTCTGTATTTAGTTACGAGTTCTAGACGAACAGCATTTTACCAACTTTGAATTACGCTAGTCCTTGTCATTAAAGGCTTTGTGCATGTTCTTGGGTTGATAAAAGGCACCATTTAAGGCTTTGCGCATGTTCTTGAGTTGATAAAAGACGTCATTTAAGGCTTTGTGCATGTTCTTGGGTTGATAAAAGACGCCATTTAAGGCTTTGCGCATGTTCTTGAGTTGATAAAAGACGCCATTAAAGGTTTTGCACATGTTCTTGGGGTGATGAAAAACGTGTCGATTTTCAATCTTAGCACAATTACCTTCATTAAGAGCTGATCTTGATGAGTTTCTAGCAGAGGCTTGGCATTCTGAGAGCTTGGGGGTTTGTAATATGATTGCAAGAAAAGCTACACTTTTCAGATTTAATTCAGAATCAAAGTGGTGTTAGAATTATACAGTTATATATATTGGGTTGTAGCTGAATATTTTGTATTAAACTCTTGCATCTATAGACAGAAATTAACCTGCTGTTAAGATAGTGTCACCATAGAGAGTAAATTGCACAAATTCATACATGTTTGTACATGTCCTTATTAGCACTTCTGTTTAAAACAACCTCGTGCCAAACTCTTTACTTGTGGGCCGAGTCAAAGTTCACACTCTTCCTGTATACGTGTTTAGGAATCTCTTATAATCTGATAACTTACTTAATACTTCAAGTTTGTCTAAAATTACCGTAGATATTAAGAACATGATTTGTTTGTCAATTGTAAATTCCAAAGTGTTTTTTTTTCTGTTTCTGTAATCATTTAATTCTTGTTATTTCTGTACTTTGTAACCTGGAAAACGTAGTGTGTAATTTCCAGTATTTCCAGAGGGACGAGAAGTTTGCTATTGGTTTATAATTATGTTATGAAAGCACAAAAATAGCTAGGAAAAGTGTTCTCGCTTATATGCACAGTGCTTCTGCATCCTGCAAGGATTCACAATCTGGCCATTAAGCCAAGGAGTTGCATCTCAATTGAAGACCCCTCTATTTGCTGTCCTGGTTCACTCTCCTAGTTTCGACTTGAATAACTGGGAGAAACTCGTGACCAGGAGTCACCGTGCTAATCACAAACCACGTCATCTTGGAAAAATATGGAATGCCTCTAGAAAAACTCAATATTGACACCAACCAGATGAGATAAATATTGTCGGTAGGCATCACTGGTGGCTAGAATATCAGAATTTCAGGACGAACAGTATGCATATTGAGGAGGTATGGACATCGGAACATTTTTTTTTGGGGGGGGGCGCCGATGACTGAAGGTACTTTATTTGCTGTGATAAACATGAACATTGAAATCAAGACTGAAATAGCCACTTTCCACAATAATTATACACAACACTTTATTCCCCATTCAAAGGGGCATTTCGCTAATTCGTCAAAATTGGGGCACGTGCCCACACTGCCCTCCCATTTCAGGAGCAACTGAAAACCATGGGTGAGACAAACACGTGAAGCGTGTTTGTATGAATAACAAGACGCCACGATGTGAAGAGTTGATGCTTTTGAGGAAGTTGATACGTCATCTGTCACCTGTTAGTCAGTAGAGACACTATCATGTGATAGTGAAGATCAGTAGTAATGAAGCGAAATAAATCAACTCATCAGACTTCAGAAGTGTCACGAAATAATATCTTGAGTGTTTATTAAAATGATTTAGGCAAAAATAATTGATTAGGAATGCTTGGACTCAGGGAGAGGTGGATAAGTGTATGATGCTGAGTTTGGACACTCAAACACTTGGTTCTGTAGGACAGAGGAACATCTTAATGACTTGGATACCGTAGTGGTCGAGTTGCACTAGGGATTTGACCTACTATAGACAACATAGCTATCTAACAGGTGGAGCTCATAGTCTATTGTAGAATCTGAACTGATAATGCAGCTAGTGGTGCTAAGGTCTCTCAGCCAGTAGATTATTTCTTTAGGTTGGATAAAATCAGGGTGTTTCACACACACTGTTGTTTGGATGTATTTATACTAGCTACATTACAATCGAGACTTTGAGAAGCATTGTAAATATTGTACTGTGTTTACTGCTCAATAGATAAACAAGCAACACCAAGGAGAATTGAGGCAGAGAACAGTTAGCTCTCCTATACAGAGAAAAACGTTAGGTATAGCTAATCTAAACAGTAAGCTCTCCGATACAGAGAAAAACCTTAGATATAGCTAATCTAAAGAGTTATCTTTCCAATACAGAGAAAAACCTTTGATATAGCTAATCTAAACAGTAAGCTCTCCGATACAGAGAAAAACCTTAGATACAGCTAATTTAAACAGTTAGTTCTCCAATACAGAGAAAAACCTTGGATATAGCTAATTTAAACAGTTATCTCTCCAATACAGAGAAAAATCTTAGATAAAGCTGAACTAAACAGTTATCTCTCCAATACAGAGAAAAACCTTAGATAAAGCTGAACTAAACAGTTAGTTCTCCAGTACAGAGAAAAACCTTTGATAAAGCTGAACTAAACAGTTAGTTCTTCAATACAGAGAAAAACCTTGGATATAGCTAATTTAAACAGTTATCTCTCCAATACAGAGAAAAACCTTGGATATAGCTAATTTAAACAGTTATGTCTCCAATACAGAGAAAAACCTTGGATATAGCTAATTTAAACAGTTATCTCTCCAATATAGAGAAAAACCTTGGATATAGCTAATCTAAACAGTTATCTCTCCAATACAGAGAAAAACCTTGGATATAGCTAATTTAAACAGTTATCTCTCCAATATAGAGAAAAACCTTAGATAAAGCTAATTTAAACAGTTATCTCTCCAATACAGAGAAAAATCTTGGATATAGCTAATTTAAACAGTTATCTCTCCAATACAGAGAAAAACCTTGGATATAGCTAATTTAAACAGTTAGCTCTCCAATACAGAGAAAAACCTTGGATATAGCTAATTTAAACAGTTAGCTCTCCAATACAGAGAAAAACCTTGGATATAGCTAATTTAAACAGTTAGCTCTCCAATACAGAGAAAAACCTTAGATAAAGCTAGTCTACTCTAACTTCAAAAGGATGATAATAACAATCAGTATGGTTTTTCAACTGGTTTTTCTCAATTGCTTTAAATATCGGGCCCAAGTTTATTCATTAGCTGACAAAGTCCATCATTCATAAATCAAAATAACATAATTCAAAGCACCCGAAGACATGAACATGGATGAAGAGAAAAAATGGGCTATGTCAATACCAAATGTATTGCTTGAGAAGATTGTGCTTCTTGGCTGAACGGACTGAAATATCATAATTATAACATGATGTCTTATCAAATAAAGTCTAGTGGCTATTTCCTGAGCTTGATAATGTTCAGAAATCAATTACTGTTTCCAGTGGACGATGTATGATCTACTTTTCAGGGCAGATACGCCAGAGGATCTAAATGAATATGTGGAGCAGATAAGACCTGTATTATTTCATGCATAAGAATTGATATGTCAACAAAAGTGGTCGTATGTCAAAAGAGAAAGTGTGAAAAGAGTGAAGCAGTTCTGATTGGATTGGTCCTTGTCTCATTATTCAACAGATCAAACCTTTGAAGAACACAATTCAGTGTTTACTTGACGCGAGAAAGTGCGTGGAGCACGTGAATAAACGGACGTCACGTGTAACAGATGAAACTCTTAAAAACTGGTTGAATCAGAAATCAAGGGTGAAAACAACCGTTGTCTAGGATGATGATTATGAGAATATTGCTTCTTATTGTGTGAACTTGGCTTTAAAGGAGGAAGAAACTAGTGATGCTTATCTGGTTGTGTATGATAAGCTAAACAAAGAAAAGCCAGAACTTGAGTAGTTCATCTGTTTATAAGATTGGCGGCAATGGCATCATCAACCTATAAATCAGTATAGTTAGGCTTAACTTCATGATCAGCCATTAGGACTGCCTTCAAATCACATATTTCCACCATTCGTTTAGTAGTATGCTATAAAGTGGATTTATGTGGTAACACTGTGGATCAGGTCACAGCAGCTGTGATGATGATGTAATTCCTCGGAGTTACCGCTGTGATATTTGAAAACCGAAAATACTTAGTGGTCCTTGATTTATGCTCAAGGGAGTAGATTGAATGGTTGATATTTAAGTTGGAATACCATGTAAATCAATTCGAACTTTACAACTAGAGCGACTGAAGATATTATATAACATACCTAGAACATTAACAGACGTAATGACTGTTGTTTACAACTATGGAATATAGATACTCAGGGTTTCCTGTTTATTTATGGGACATACCTAATGAGTGACTTGTCACTTAGTGAGTTATAGCAGATGTAAGAGTCAGTAATACAATTCCAAGAAAAATCTAGAACTTGCTTGAGGGAATTGTCACGATGGACCTGTACTGTGTCTTGCGTTCTGCCTCGGGTTTTTGTTTTAAACTGCTATAGCTAGAAAAATAGCTGATCTGTTGATAAGACAATGTCATAACTAAGTTCACGCTCTAGAGCCCCCTCAATGGCACAGCGGTTCACCACGGGTATCGAAACCCGGTTTCTACCGTTGTAAGTCCGCAGACATACAGAGCACAGATAGCCCATTGTGCAGCTTTGTACTTAACTTTAAATAAACAAACCTTAAAACAATATTGTGGCAGTTTCTTTCTTGATTTCTGAGTCGAGTTTAAGGTACATTTTACGCAAAAATCTCTACGAATCTGTTCTTATTGTATTTTGATAACTCAACTTTTGGTCCAAGTTTTAGATGAGAATATAGTACTAGTACTGTTTGAGATATTTAAGAGGTTGACACGAATCTAACAAAATTAGCTAAAAACAAATGTAAGTTAGCACGGATTTTAAATAGGATAAAATGGACGTGGGGATGTATATATATATATATGTACAAAACGTACAGAAGCGAACAGTTCTTATGGTGTTGTTTGATAAAATAATTGTCACAGCAATATAATCGTCGCTCTCACAAAGTGCTCCTGCTCCACAGGTTTATCGACCACCTTTCTAGTCAGACATAGGATTTATATATTTGACTTTGAATAAAATGTTCTTCTTTATTGTTAAAGCACTTTTCTTATCCATTAATATAAATGTTGTAAAACTGAATTTTGTTGTATCTGACTTGCATTTCACACTGTGTATTGTAACAGCTTCCCCTTTTATTTATAACTGCTGAGTTAGGGACGTTATAGCAAATAGTCCTCGTGTAGCATTGCGCGAAATTCAAAATAAACCAACCTCTCTTGTTCACCAAAAATTTATGTATTTATGAAGAAGCACCTGTTAATAATATATTTTGTAACAGGGATTTTATGTATAAAATAAATTGTTTCGTCGTCCTTACAAGATCTTCACATTGTTTGTTTGTAATTAAGCACAAAGCTGCACAATGGGCTATCTGTGCTCTGCTCACTACTGGTATCGAAACCCGGATTCTAGCGTTGTAAGTCTGCAGACATACCGCTGTGCCACTGGGGGGGGCTCTTTACGAATATCTTAATTATAATATCTCTTCTTCCCTTTTATAAGTTTTATTTTCGTGTACCTTTCGTCAAAAAATAATTTGGATCGATAAAGCTTTACTCCTAAGGTGTTTTTGGAATGTTGATAAGAGTAACTTTTACATTTTGAGAGTGACTTTCAGAGTGCAATATTAGATCTTATTACTTGATGATGTTCTGGTGCCAGCGGTGCGAGTTTTAAAGGAAGACTTAATAGATACTGTTGATAACTAAATGATAAAAAATGTTCTCAACACAGACAGTGATATTTCCAGTCCAATTAGTGAGGAATGGTGTATCTGTAATGCCTTACACTTATTACCATTAACCAGCGAACATTTAATTGGATTTCAAGAAACACGAAGTATTTATCAAAATGTTGATGGGAAAAATGAAAGAAGGGTTTAAAGTCTTTAGAAAATCAGTAAGTTTCAAACAAGATTTTCGTGTTTGAACTCTATACATTTTTTCTTTTGATTAAGGCTTTTTATTTCTTAAGCACACTGCAGCGTGCTTCAAAGATTCTAGTACACTTCCAGAACTAGACAAGTAATTAGGCTGTAAGCAGAAAAACATAAGTAGCGAGGGTCGTATTTAACACAAAATATTTTATACTTGAAATAAAAAATTAAACACTTTTTCAAATGATGAGAAACATGCAAAAAAACCAATGGAATTTTAAATGTTTTAACTGATGTGAAATGCTCATTGATTCAATTTGTTAATGTCAGTACTTAAAGAAAATAAAGTTTTATTACTTAAGCCTTGTTTTATTTCTGTCTAGTGTGTTAAAGTTACAATGTCTTGCAAAAGTATTCACCCCCTACACAGTTTCCACATTTGGTTGCCGTCTGACTTTGCAATCATGAAACTTTCAAATGAGACTTTATATTTAAAATGTACACAATCTACTCCGAACTGAGAAAGCTAAAAAACACTGATATTATGTAAGTAAATTAGATTTTCAAAAAAAAAATAAAATATTCTCAGTTGCTTAAGTATTTAACCCCTTTGCTACAGCAACTCTGAATCGGTTCAAGTGTAAAAGATTAGTTTGAAATGTCACAAAATTCGTGTAATGGTCTCTGTCTGTGTGTAATCAAAGTGGTTTAACTTGACTTCAGAGTAAATGCATCTGTTCAAGCCATAACTCACATATTGATACAACAAACCAACCATGAAGAACAAGGAGCTTTCCACACAAGTCAGGGATAAAGTGGTAGAGAAGCACAGATCAGGAGAAAGTTACAATAAAATTCCAAGGTCGCTGGTTAGCCCTTTGAGTACAGTGGTGTTCACCATTGAGAAGTGTAATGTGCTTCATACCACCCAGTCACTACCCAGATCAGGTCGCTCCTCCAAACTAAGCAGCCGGGCAAGGAGAAAACTGGTTAGGGATGCCACTGTGAAGCCAACAGTGATCTTGAAAGATCTGCAAAGTTTCATGTCTGAGATGGGAGTCAGTGTTCATACATCGACAATATCCCGGTCCCTACACAAAGCTGGCCTGAATGGGCTAGTGGCAAGAAAGAAGCCATTACTGAAAAAAAGGTCATCTTAAATCTCGTATGGAGTTTGCGAAAAAGCATGTAAATGATACTACAGACGTGGAAGAATGTTTTGTGATCAGTCTAATTCAGATCGTTACGTCTGTCACAAGCCCAACACAGCACATCAGTAAATGATACTACAGACGTGGCAGAATGTTTTGTGATTAGTCTAATTCAGATCGTTACGTCTGTTCACAAGCCCAACACAGCACATCACCCAGTCAATACCATCCCAACTGCTGCCAAGCATGATGGTGGCAGCATCATGTTATGGGGATGCTTATCATCAACAGGGACTGGGGAGCTTGTCAGGAGAAGATGGATGGTGCAAAGTACAGGCGAATCCTAAAGGAAAACCCTGCTTGAGTCAGTCAAGAATCTAAAACTGGGTCGAAAACTCACATTTCAACAGGAACATTGACCCGAAATACAAGGGCAAAGCCAACAGGAGTGGTGTCAAAAGAAGAAAGTGAATGTCCTGGAGTGGACCAGTGAAAGTCCTGACATGAATCCGATAGAAAATTTATGGCGAGACTTGAAGGTTGCAGTCCATCAACGATCCTCAACGAACTTGTCAGAATTGAAGCAATTTTACCAGGAAGAATGGGCAAATGTTACATCATCCCATTGTGTAAAGCTGGTAGAGACCTACCCAAAAAAGACTCACTGCAGTAATTGCTGCCAAAGGTGCTTCCACCAAGTACTGACTTAGCGGGCTGAATACTTATGCAATCAACAAAATTCAGTTTTTATATTTTATTTCCAGGTTTTGCTGACATTCAACCTCCTTCACACATAAAAGTCTTCAGTTTGATCATTAGAGGCTTGAATAAAAACAAGTTCATTAAAAAAATTGTTTACACTATTTGTATTTCATCAAAACGTGACATCATTGATAGGGGTGAATACTTTTGCAAGGCTCTGTGGTTACAAATATATATATAATGCTATAACATTGTTCATAAAAAAATCTGGTTTTCATTAGTAAAATAAGAAAAAAAACTCAAATTTTATTTTCCACAAAGTATAAAGTTATTACTCTTGAATGATGCCTAATTTGTATCTCTTCGTCATTAAACGATTATAGGAGACGTTACTCCATTGAGGTTCTAAATTTCACGTAGAAATTGGGCAGATAGAAAGCAATCCTGAAAAACAAACGTTTACGTGAAAACAACAATGTAGTGATGGAGACGTCGCATTAAGTAACACATACCTGCTCGTTGAAATATGAAACACCTTTACACGTGATGGATATATATATCATAACTAGCTGAGGAGCGCCAATTCGAGCCTTAAGAGTTCACATTTCTTCAGCTCGATCAATGATAGATAATATTATGTGCACGAGCTATATATATATATATATATACATATATCATTTATTTGGTTTTATAATTCTGACAGGAAACTTGTAGACTCGAGTTTATTGTCAAATGGATTAGTAGTAAATTAGTGGACTTTCCAAAGCTAACTTAACTGTAGGTCCTTACTTACTGGCATGGTTTGGCTACCGTGAAGTCCGTTGATGGCTGCTTGTGCTTCTGAATGAGAGCCAAACTTCACAAATGCACAGCCTGGAAGTAATTAGAAAGCAGTTAAAGTCATGTACGAAACTTTCATCAGTAATCCTGTAACGCACACTAGGCTTATACCATTAGATCTAATCATTTCTATTGATTTCTATAGATGGCGCCAGTATCTTATAGTGTTCTTGAAATAGAAGTGAAATTTTACTTTGCAACAAAATGTAAAGTGAATTATGTTCTCATAAATTATATATATATTTACACACACACACACACATGGTATATATATATATATATTATACAGCAATCTTTGAGGTGGTAGATGTATATTTCATATGTTTAACTAATTAATTTATATTTATATATAACCATGTGAATATTTGCATGTGCAAAAATGTGTATAGACGTTCGTTCTGAAAAGTTGTCAGGTTCTGTGAATGCTAAAGAGATCGCAAAAGCGATGTTTTTCATTGTCTCATCGATTTGTAAATAAAACTACTTATAAAGTCAGATCCTTACAATGCTGTTTACATTATTTTCACGAAGTGAATGCTTTTAAGATATACTGGTATATTACTGTTTTTATTGAATTGACGTAACTCCACGAGAAACAGAGAATCATTAGGTTGAACAGTATAGACCTTGAAGTTCCAATAAAAAAAAAAACGACAAAGCAAAGGACTAAACATCAGTGGTTGATACTGTCTTGTGCAAGGCAAAACCACTTTTCAACAACAACCAAGAGATTTTTTTATATAGTAAATGTAAAGACAACTTCCAACGTAATCATTAGACAAAGTGATTTAGTTCAGTTTCACTGCACGGCCGCTTGCTACTGATTGCTTCTATGTTTTTCTATTCATAAGCAGTAAGATTTTTAAACAAGACAATCAGAAGTACAGAACGTAGGATGACACTAGAATAATAATTTTTAACGTACTTTAAAAGAAACTTTACAAACTCTTTCCAGCCGAGTGGTTAGCGTGTAGGGCCTGCGATTCTCATGGTTCAGAGTTCAAAACACGCTGCCGCACTTTCGGCTGTGGGCGCGTTATAAAAGTGACAATAAATCCCACTATTTGGTTTAAAGAGAAAATGGACCTGGCATGGCCTGGTGGTTAGGGCGCTCGACTCGCAATTTTCGGGTCGCGGGTTTGAATCCCTGTCACCGAACATACTCGCCCTTTCAGTCGAGGGGGTGTTATAATGTGATAGTCAATCCCATTTGTAGCGGCGAGTGTTGCTGCCTGGCTGCCTTTTGTCTGGTCAGTAGCTAAAAATAAGGAAAACTATTCTTGAGTCTTAGGAGTCATCGATCTGGTCGTACATAACCCATGTGCATGCGCATAAGATACTATTGAGGTTAATAGGTTCCTACAGAATCTTTAACAATCAATGGATTTTACTTGAGGAAAACAGATGTCACTTAACGTGTTTCTAGCAAATCTTACCCTATTAACCTCTTTTCCAACGATTTCTTAAATTTACACAATGCACCACTTTCAGAGTTTAATTAACTTTTCAAATAATTATTACGAGTTTTAAGATTGTTTGTTAATTCATTTGTTGTTGTTGTTTTTACCTCTTTCTAATGAGAAAATCTATGAAATAGCAGTAACTGTTCGTTGTAGAGACATTCCTGTAAAGTGATAAAGAAGGAAATGAAATCCCACTTTCCCTTCTAAGAGGGAATACTAAAAATAAATCCAGTTCACATATTCGAATATTCGAGAAAGTTATTTTTAAAATATCTCCCCCCCCTACCCTCCGCTGTCTCAGCGGTAAGCTTTGTGAGTTTATAACTATAAAAACAATTATCCTATTGTGCAGCTATGCGGTTAAACAAGTAATATTTCAAAAAAGCCTGTGCCAACTTTTATTAAAATTTTATACCTAGTATGTGAATGTGTATAAATCTATAGTATTAGTATATGTATGAGGGGGAACTTTTTTTTACTGCACTTCAAAATATAAAATTGATAATTAGAAGCTCATATCTATTTAATCCTCTAAATGATTTACAGACCACACTGGAATAGTGGATCTAGACCACGAACTTCTGGGTGTGGCTTCATGGATTACCTGTTTATAGCTAAATATGCCTTTTCATTTGCATTTAAGTTAGATCAACGAGCTTTTACTATGACAAGCACATCAGTTTTCTTCGCCTACGTGAATTCCAAGGGTTTTTGAAAAGCAAAATGTATTCAAAATGGGGATTCGAATGTTTAATACAACGTAAAGTGGTGAATAACAACTATGTCTGAATGAAATTCAAAATCAGAGCAGAAAAACATACAAACAATAACCCTTTTACTTGTCAACGTCGTGTTCATCTCATAAGGTAAACTTTTATTTTTTTCTCGTGAATATTTTCATGCAGCGAACATAATATAGAATTCTTTGTTTCAGATTATTCTCGATTAAAATAGAAACATAATAATTTTAGAAATATATATACTTATTAAACTAAATCTAGAAAGAGAAGGAACTCACATAATTATAAGCTTTTTTTTTCTTTGAAGGTAATAAAGAAACGTAAAATATCGTTCAAATTTAAATGTTAATGCACCTAGTTATATTTTTCTGTATTATTTTCTAAGTTGCAAATTATGAGGGAAAACTGTTCGTTGACAAAATTATTTCCACAAATTTACGCTATGTTACTCCGAACAAGAAGGCCTAGCTAGCATGGCCAGGTGGTGTTAAGGTGTTCGACTCGCTATATGTAGGTCGCAAGTTCGAATCCCCGTCCTACCAAATACACTTTCATTTTCAGCATTGGAGGCGTTATAATGTGACGGTTAATCCTACCATTCGTTGGTAGAAGAATAGCTCAAGATTTGGCGGTGGGTGATGATGACTAAGTCTGCTTTCCCGCTGCTAAATGAGGGACGGCTAGCGCAGATAACCTACGTGTAGCTTTGCACGATACTCAAAACAAACAAACAGAACAAGAATCAAGAATAAAAGACTGATTTGGACAGTGGCGTTTCAGAAAGATAAAACCAAAGAAGATCTTTAAACAAATATCAGTAACAACAGGAAAGCCTTGTGCTTTTGGTCCGGCATAGCCAGGTTTTTAGGGCGCTCGATTTACGATCTGCGGGTCGTGGGTTCGAATCCCCGTCACACAAAATATCCTCGCCCTTTTAGCCGTGGAGGCGTTATAATGTGATAGTCAATCCCACTATTCGTTGGTAAAAAGAGTAGCCCAAGAGTTGTCGGAGGGTGGTGAAGACTAGCTGCCTTTCCTCTAGTCTTACACTGTTAACTTAAGGATGGCTAGCGCAGATAGCTTTGCGCAAAATTCAAAACAAACCCAAACCCTTGTGCTTTTGTGTAACTTCAGCAATACGTTATTCTCTGTGCTGAAACAGATGAATTTTGTCTAAAGATTTACTGAACTAAAACTAACGTATTCATACATTTGTTTTTATTATTCCATCAAACACGAACAAGTCATCTATATACTTTGATTATAATAGTTAACATTTTTGTTTAAGTTAAATAAAGACTAGCATGTACTTGCACATTGAAGTTGCATTAAATTACCATGTAAATAACATGTAATGAAGACTGAATTAGAAGAAACGTTCATGCATTTTTTTCGTGTTGGATTATTTCATGGTTGCAATATTCAGTAAATGTCACTGTATTTCCATAAAGTTTGATGTAAATCAAAAAGATATACATTCTACGACTTCCAACACAGTGCTATATAAATATATAGAGTTTAGAAGTCAATATTCAGTAAATGTCACTGTATTTCCATAAAGTCTGATGTAAATCAAAAAGATATACATTCTACGACTTTCAACACAGTGCTATAGAGATATATATAGAGTTTAGAAGTCAATATTCAGAAAATGTCACTCTATGTCCATAAAGTTTGATGTAAATCAAAAAGATATACATTCTACGACTTTCAACACAGTGCTATAGAGATATATATAGTTTAGAAGTCAATATTCAGTAAATGTCACTGTATTTCCATAAAGTTTGATGTAAATCAAAAAGATATACATTCTACGACTTTCAACACAGTGCTATAGAGATATATGGAGTTTAGAAGTCAATATTCAGTAAATGTCACTGTATTTCCATAAAGTTTGATGTAAATCAAAAAGATATACATTCTACGACTTTCAACACAGTGCTATAG